ACGCGCCACACCCCTAATGTAGCCAGTCCCAATGAGTTTATGCTATTGGGTGTGGCCTATTATGCTAATGAGTTCCTGCAGGGCGTGGCCAACTCGGGAGCCAGCCGGAACTCCGTTCCTGTGCGTTCCTGCCCAAAAATAGCCCTGGTTACACGTAAAGAAATGAATTGCCTTGGGAGCACGCAAGCTTTATGCAGTATCCCCGCTCCTCTACGCTTCCCGATTAAAGGGGAAAGGCTGTTCAAACAAGTGACAACGGTGACCTGACTCCAATGGTAACGAGGGAAAGAAATTTTACGTACAAAAATAGAAGCACATCTTACGTGACGTATTCACGTGGGTCCATTTTAACTTGTTGTGAACAGATTAATTTTCAAAAAGGTTAGCTTGCTACAGCTCCAAGCCCAGGTAAGAGGGAGGAGAAGAGAGTTCTCATATAAGATGAAATAATGGCAAGCAACGGCCAAAGAAGAAGAAATTGGATTTATACCCGGTCATTCACTCGGCGTCTCAGAGCGGCTTCTCATCTCCTTCCTTTCCTCTCCCCACAACAGACACCCTGTGAGGTAGGTGGGGCTGAGAGAGCGCTTTTGAGGACTGCTCTTGAGAGAACAGCTCTGAGAGAACTGTGGCTTGCCCAAGGTCACCCAGCAGCTGCATGTGTAGGGACTCAAACCTGGTTCTCCCAGATTCTTCCTCTTCCTCCATGGGCCCTCCCTCGGAATGGGAGGTGCCTCTTCAAAACAGGCAACGCCTCAAGGGTTGCCTGTTTCATGAGACCAACGAGACTGTTTTAATTGTTTGTAAATTATATTTAATACGCATCAAAATGTTTAGGATGTCTTGATTTTGCTTTGTGATCCGCAAATCAATGAATAAAACACCCCAGCGGAGCCTGGCACCAAGTAAACCTAACCCTAACGGCTTGGCAGCCTTCAGATTTCTCATACCCCGTTGTGAGGTCTGAAAGGTCAGAGATCCAGGTGGGGTAGCCGCGTTGGTCTGAACCAGCAGAACACAGGTTGAGTCCGGTGGCACCTTTAAGACCAACAGAGCTTAATTCTGGGTATCAGCTTTCCTGTGCATGCACATATCCGAAGAAGTGTGCATACACACAAAAGCTTATGCCTTGAATAAAGCTTTGTTGGTCTTTTGGGTGTGTGTGTTATTTTTTGCATTTGTGTGTGTGTGTATGTGTGTGCCTGTGCCTGGAAGTCATGGCAAACTCCAGCGACATTCCAGAGAAGTGGCTTCACAGCCTGCCTCTACCTCCCGGCCCTGGTATTCCTTGGAGGTCTCTCATCCAAGCGCTTGCCAGGGTCGGCCCTGCTTAGCTTCTGAGATCTGATGAGATCGGGCTCGCTTGGGCTACCTGGGTCAGGGCAAAAAATTGTCCATCTTTAAGGTGCTGCTGGACTCAAACGATGCACTAAACGGCCAGAGATTATGCACGTTACGTTACCATTTCCTCAAGCCGCGTGGTCATTCTCGGTGGGGCGTTTTAACGTTCTCACGCTTACCTTCGCTGAGGCTCGCCGGCGCCAGGCTGATGACCTTTGACAGGAGGGGCAGGAGGTGCCGCGCGCTCTGACCTTCGGGAAGTCTGCCTTCCAGGGCTCTGACCAGCCGCTGCCCCACGGCTTCTACCTCTGCCTTTGCGTTGCCCTTTGGAACAAAGCAAACGTTTGAGCGCTGGAGAACCTTACAAGGGACAGACTTTTCCCCACATATCTAGGAATTCATCTTCCCGTGGACCTGAAAACTTTCTGTGGCGGCTCATTCCTGGTGGAATGCGCTCCTGGAGGAGATCGGGGCCCTGCGGGATCTTCTGCGATTCTGCAGGGCCTGCAAGACGGAGCTCTTCCGCCAGGCCTTCAGTTAGGAGCCGCCCACCACTACCATCAACGTCCATTATTAACATCGGGGGCGTAGCTGAAAGTGAGCCATATCAACTTGATATGTTAGGAGACCGCTGAGCTGGGTATGTGGATGCCACCCTGCATGGTAAGCCATCTTGAGTTAATGACGCAGTGAGCACTTTAAATTGCGAATCGGTCTGATCGTTTTAAATGGTTTTAATTGTTTTAGATGTACTTGGTACACTGTGCCAAGTAATGTAAGCCGCCCTGAGCCTACAAATAAATAAATAAAAATAAAAAAACATCAAAAGGTACAATCATGACAAAGTTGGACACGGTGTTCAAAATACCTTACTGAAATGGCACAAGCTTTCATGGCTTGTAATCCAAAATTGGGATTTTTTGGGGGGTACCATCCACTACACTGCTTTATCGCATTGTCTTGTAATTCTGTAATCCACCTTGGGGCTCAATGAGAAAGGTGGACTACAAAACGAAGTCAATAAATAAATAGTTTGCAGCATCACTGCGCAACTCTGAAAAAAACCAGACCTTCCCATACGTGGGAGCGATGGGGGGAAATTTTTTTAAAAGCTGGCTGTGTGAAAATAGTAAGAAAAAGTTATGCCGCAGCGCCCTCTCCGTGTCCAAAACCCATGACAAGAAATGGGCGGCAATGAAACTGAAACAACGAACGAAAAGAACGAGGGGGCATTCTGAGAACATGTTTATTTACCTGGGCCAGTAAGATGGGGAACGTTAGACTCAAGAGCTCGGTGTCCTGGATCTTATCCCATGACACAGACAGGTCGTTGCACGGCAGCATTTCTCGCATGATAGCAGCACACAAAACCTGGACTTGCTTGGGGGACTTGGGTGGCTGCAACGCCGTCTGCAGGAGCTCCACGAATCTGCCATCCAATCTGCAGAAAGCAGGACAAGGGACAAAAGCAACCTTCCGACTTTTTTTACATTCGGTCGACAGAACATCCAGACTAGTCCAGTCTGTTCAGTTCTCGGAAGCTAAGCAGGGTCAGGCCTGGTTAGTACTCGAATGGGAGACCACCAGCCGCCGGAGCCCGCCCCCGCACAGTCAGCCGCCCTGAGCCCGCTTTGCAGGGAGGGCGGGGTATAAATCTGGCAATAAAGAAATAAAATAAATAAATAAGAACTCCAGGGTCGCCATGCAGAGGCAAACCACCTCTGAACATTCAAAAGGGAATTAGATAAGCATATGGATCAAAAGGGAATTAGATAAGCACAAGTAAGGGGACCTGCGATACTCGCGGGAGGGGAGAGAAAGAGCTCCATACAGAGCAGGAGAAGGAGGCAGCAGCAGCAGGTAAGCCTCCCCCGGTCTCCTCCACCCCCTGGCTCTGGCCGCGTCTCGCCGATTTCCTTTCACTCCCTTCCCTCGGTCTCCTCCACCCCACCCCAGCTCAGATGGCGAGGCCCGAGCGGCTGCCAACCGCCGGGCCTTGCTGATCTCTTTCCCCCCTTCCCCGGTCTCCTCCACTCCAGCTCGGATGGCGAGGCCTGAGCGACTGCCAGTCACTGAGCCCCGCCCATCTCCTCTCCCCCCCCATCTCCTCCCATCTCCTCCAGTCCATGCCCCGGCTCCAACGATGAGGCCGTGCCTCGCCTGTCCCTCCCCCCTGGCTCCGAAGCGAGGCCCGGTGGCTTGTCGTTCCCTGCGCATGCGCAGGGGACGCTCTGTCACTTTTGGGGGGATTTAAGTATCCCCCCGATATTTTTTCCGGGTTTTTAGATTTTTGTGCACACCTGGGGACTGCCCCATGTGTGCACAAAAATCTCCCTCCCCCCCAGGTGCCCCTGATGCGCGGATTTAGGTATCCGCACGCAGGGGGCACCTTTCGCTATTAGATATATAGATATGGATCAAAAGGGAATTAGATAAGCCTATGGAGCAGAGGTCCATCAGTGGCTATTAGCCACAAGGTATGGATAGGGACTCTGGGGCAAGGGATGCTCTGTCTTCTTGGTGCTTGGGGGGGGTCAACAGTGGGAGGGCTTCTAATGCCCTGGCCCCACTGCTGGACCTCCTGAGGGCACCTGGCATTTCTGGCCACTGTGTGATACAGAGTGTTGGACTGGATGGGCCTTTGGCCTGATCCAACATTGGCGTCTCTTATGTTCTTAACATCTCCTGCCCTGAAAACAGCATGAGGGGTTGCCACAAATCAGGTGCGACTTGATGTATTTTCCACCACCATGGGTCGAACACCGGCTCTGAAGTTCTCTCTCTCTCATTCTCCCGGACACGGGGCGTTTCTGGAGCTCACACCCAAACTAAAGGGGCAATCCCATGCAGGCATATTTTAGAGTGAGCCCAAGTGAGTATCTAATCGCCGTGAGTCTCCTGCTCGTGTGTAGATCAAAACCTCCCTGAAAAGTCGACAGGACCTCCTCTATGATTGCAGGGAAACATGTTTTTAAATATTTCAAGAAACAACTTTGGGTGACCTGAAATTTCACCTTCACAGCTGGCGATGTTACAAGGAGGAGGTGAGTGTTGGTGGAGGGTGGGGAGGGGGGCAGGGAGAAGGGGAATGAAAACGCAGCCACGGACAGGGCAGGAGAGAGGAGAGGGGGAAAGAAAGACACAGGGTCAGCAGGATGGGAAGAAGGAAAAACAGAGCGGAAGAGAGCCAAATGGGAGTGGAAGATATTCATTCATTTATTTATTTATTAGATTTGTATCCCGCCCTCCCCAGATGGGCTCAGGGCGGCTTCAAACAGCGGCAAATGCCATAACGAACAGTTAAAACAGTATAAAACAATCCATAAATAAAGTGCGGTGCTCTAGGTATTAACTTATCTCTCCAAGATGGGATCCTTTTATCGCCTAGCCTGGCAGCATAGGTTCTTGGTCACCTAGGCGTCTTCCCAGGGCCAGTTCACTTATCAATCTAATCCACCGTCATAGATGGCAACTCGATGGTGGCACAATGGCGGTGGCGGCGGCTCCTATGCCTGGCGGAAGAGCTCCGTCTTACAGATGGCAAGCTGTGGCCGAAATGGGAGCCAGGAAAGGGGAAAGCGGGCACAGCTTTGGCATGGGCGAGCAGAAGAGAGGGGGGAGAGCCAGCTGGAAGAGAGGGCAGGCAGGCAGAGCAATCAGGCAGGTCGCCAAGGGAACGGAGGCAGTGTTCCCGCTAAGCTAAGTTAGTGTGAGCCAGCTCACAGTTTTTTAGCCTCCGGCTCGCACATTTTTGTCTCAGCTCAGGGAGGATGGGGCTCCGGAGCAGACTGGTTTATGCAGCAGCCAAATCACCTGCTCATGACTTGAATGCCAGGAGCTCAGAAAGTAGAATTGTTGCTCACAGGACTCCACAGCTTAGAGGGAGCATTGAACGGAGGCGAGAAGAATGGGAGTTTAGTCCCTTCCTGTTATCTTTTATTGTTCAAGTGTGGGCATTCAGGCTAATGTGAGATAGCCATATCTGATTTGTTTATTTATTTCCTTCAATTTATATCTCGCCCTCCCTGCAAAGCAGGCTTCATGGCAGGTTCCAACCTTTAACAGTCTGCTGAGTGCAGATTTACATCATAAAAACAGAATAGCAAAAAAACATACAGTAAATACAATAAAATAAGTACAACACTAAATACTTTAAAATAAATTATAGTTTAACAGACACATAAGAGCGACTCTTTTGGGGGGGGCAGATTGAATTGGATACCCACTGCCTCAGCTGAAGGCCGGGTGGAAGAGCTCCGTCTTGCAGGCCCTGCGGAACTGTAAAAGCTCTTGCAGGGCCCTAATTTCTGACGGGAGCTCATTCTACCAGGCAGGGGCCAGGGCCGAAAAAGCCCTGGCCCTAGTTGAGGCAAGTCGGATATCCCTAGGGCCACAATGCCACTTACTGGCATTTTAAAAGTACATTTTAAACAGCCAGTTAATCAAATGCCTACAATCTAAAAGGTTACCAGCAGTGTTCTCTCTAAGCTGAGTTAGTGTGAGCCAGCTCACAGTTTTTTTAGCCTCCGGCTCACACATTTTTGTCCTAGCTCAGGAAGGAGGGCTCCAGAACAAACTAATTTATGCAGCAGCCAAATAACTCACTCACAACTTTAATGCCGGTAGCTCACAAAGTAGGATTTTTGCTCAGGAGATGCCACAGCTTAGAGGGAGCACCGGTTACCAGCCCAAAGAGAAATAAGGCAGAGATATCGTCTCTCTGCAGAACTGCTTGGGATGCTTCTTTAGCTGATCTGGGGGAGGGCAGACTTTTGCCTGAACCCCCCCCCCCAAGAAAAAAAGATCTGCATTTATGTTGACTCACCTCCGTCCATATTTGGTAGCTGAGACAATAAGGAATAATCTTTGCAAGCAATCAATGGTTTCATTCCCAAAATCCTGATTTTGGAAGAGGCCTGTGATTCGGGAAGCGAATTTTTTCAGTTCTTCATCCTGGATTTTCCTAGTAAGAAAGAACACGGAACTGTTTGCTTTATTCAGCAAGATACCACCAATGACAGACATTAAGGAACGTCAGGCGAGCAAAATCCCCGTTGTTTTGCCATTCGCAAATGTATTGTATTACATCTACATCACTGGTTACTAGATTTCAGACAGCAGAACAAGGAAAGGGACACCAGAGAGACACTGCTGAGCTAGGTGAACCAGTGTTCAGGCTCAGGATATTGCCTCATAACTCCTTAATTTCATTATGAAAACCCATCAGCACTGGAGCAATCAAACCCAAAACATCAGATCTGGATTTTGAAGGGCAGATGAATAATGTTTCTCCACTCAAAGGTTTGGAGTGAAAGAAACCTTATAAAAATGGGAACATAAACATAAGAACATAAGAGAAGCCAATGTTGGATCAGGCCAAAGGCCCATCCAGTCCAGCACTCCGTGTCACACAGTGGCCAGAAATACCAGGGGCCATCAGGAGGTCCAGCAGTGGGGCCAGGACATTAGAAACCCTCCTACTGTTGACCCCACCCCCAAGCACCATGCTAGTGACACCCTGCAACCCCGCAACAATTTGCTTTCAAAATTTAGTGTGTTGGGGGGGGGAACTCAGCACCAATGACCAAAGCCACAGCCATTTTCTGTAAGTTCCTGAACACACAGAGGAATGCTTTCAGTCCGAAGCTCCCAGATAACAGGACACTGGAACTGCATTGTGAAATCCAATTGCACTAAAATTGTTGCAGGAAATCCTGGGATTTTATGAAAACCCAAAAACAAAAGGCGTGGGATACCTTTGCACGCACGTTGTATTGTTCTGGTTGGTCTTAATCAGAAGTATTATGTGGCTTTTATTGTTGTAAAGGTAAAGGTTCCCTTGCTATGAATCTGACTCTAGGGTTGCGGTGCTCATCTCCGTTTCAAAGCTGAAGAGCCAGAGCTGTCTGAAGACGTTTCCATGGTCATGTGGCCAGCATGACTAAACACCAAGGCGCACAGAACGCTGTTACCTTCCCACTGAAGCGGTACCTATTTATCCACTTGCAATTTCTTGTTTTCGAACTGCTAGGTTGGCAGGAGCTGGAACTAGAGACGGGCGCTCACTCCGTCATGCGGTACACTCGGGTCTCGAACTGCTGAACTACCAACCTTCCACAGCCTGCAGTTCAGCGTCTTCACCACTTGAGCCCCCGCGGCTCCTTTTTTGTTGTACCTTTTTATTTTTTCCAATTTGATTTAACAAATATATATATGTGCTGTCATGGCAGCCAGGACACTTGGTTGGACTGAGATCTGGGAGATCTGTCATGAAACCCTCAGGGCCTTTGCTAACTTCTCTGGAGTCCAGTACCATCTATGGAATATCTTGAATATATTTTCCTTAAATGCTACTGCCCTCATTAATTTCATAGACTTCCAGACTTTTTTCCATTCTTCGATTTGAATAGTCTTTCCCAGGTCTTTCATCCAGAGGATCATGGAATCTTTTATATTTTCGTCGTGTTGAAAATCTTCCAAGAGAAGGTTGTAGATTTTTTGGATCATTTTATCATTGGAAGACAGCCATATCTTATCCAAATCTGTTTTATTGTGTATAAATTCACTGTTTTTATCCTTATTATATCTATCTTGTACTTGCATCTTCTCCCACCATGTTAAGTAGATATTTTTTTCAGATAGTCTTTCTAGAGGCCTTAGTTTGTTGTTTTCATCCAGTAGTACGTCATAGGATATAGCCTTTTCTTTCGTCATTAAATTGGTGTTTATAAAGGCTTCGAGGGGGGATACCCATCTTGGAGTTTTTGGATAGTATCTATATTTCATTTCTTCCCATACTTTGATTAGTGCCGCTCTAATGATATGACTGTGAAAGTTTGAGTGTATTTTATCTTTTCCGTACCACAGGTACGCATGCCACCCCATATACAGGTCGTGGCCTTCCAAGTAAAGTGTTCTCCAGTTTAATAACTGTATCCAATCCTTGATCCATACCATAGCTGCGGCTTGAAAGTATAGTTGCCAATTTGGGAGTCCCATGCCTCCCCTCTCTTTTTTATCCTGTAATATCTTTAATTTAATTCGTGCTCTTTTTGGATGCCAAACAAAGGATCTTGTTAATTTATCTAGGTCCAGAAAGTACTGTTTCCTTTTAAGAACTGGTATATTTTGTGCTAAGAATAAGTAACGGGGAAGAATATTCATCTTAATCGTTGCAATTCTTCCCATCATGGATAGCTGTAGGTCTTTCCATTTCAAAAGGTCTTTTCTTATTTCCTCCCTCAATTTAATATAGTTGTTCTCTATCAGCATGCTGTTTCTGTTTGTTAATATTATTCCTAGGTATTTCACCTTATTTACTATTTGCACCTTCGTCAGTTCTTGAAGCTCTATTTCTACATTTTTCACTTCTAATAAAATCTTCTAATAAAATTTTATTTCACTTCTAAAGAATTTTATATGTACCTCTCTGGGTAGTTTTTTCCTTTTGGCATAGGCTGAATTTCTCCTGAAGACCGTTTCAATATCTCCATAAATCTCATCTTTTGTGTCTATGTTTAATTGTTCTGCAAAGGATTCTGCTAGAACTTCTTTTAAATTATCCTCTATTTCCTCTGGTATATTCTGGCATCTAATTATAAAACCAGCTCTTTCCATTTCAAAGTTGATAATAGTCTCCTCAAGTTTCTCATTTTTTGCTTTTATTTCTTGCATTTCTGTGTCTAGCACTTGTGTTTTTTCTACTAGCTTGTTTGATGTTTTAGCAATTCTTGATATTTCTTTTTTGTTTTCTGACATTTGTTTTTTTATTTCCTCAGTTTCTGTTTTAATTTGAGATGCAATCCCCTCCATCTTGTTTGCAATCTCATCCATTCTTGTGCCTATTGGTGCTAGTTCTTTCTTAATTAAATTTGGTAGAGTTATTTCCATATTTTGTTGGAACAATTGGGCCAAACTTTCCTGAATGTATTGTTTCAGTTCTGTCATTGATTGTTGGGATATGTTTGCTTTTAACTGTGAAATGTTCCCCGCTTGTCCTGGTGAAGGTATGGATCCTTTTCTATTACCTCCTGCACCTGCACCTGATGCCATTTTTTTTTTTTGATCCTGGGTAGTTTTAATAACCTTTGTGTGGCCTTTATTTACTTTTTTTATTCACCCTCACGTGGTATATCTCATTTGTATCTCTACTCACTCTATTCTTGTTTTGTTTAGTCCTGTGTCTTTAAATCTCTCTTTTACAGGTCACTTTATTATAAGTTACAATTAAAGTCTCTTGATTTTTTTCTAATATAGTTTTAAACTTT